CAATTATGTATATCACACTTGGCCTACTGTTTGCAGTAGAAGTAATCAATAAAGGATGTGGTTGAGTGAACATAGATTTTGGTTGAACCAATGCATGAAAACTTAATCATTTACTCAGAGAGAAGAAATCAAATAGAGCGGAGATGAAACAGCCACCAAGGGGTTTGTTGATTGTGCCACCAAGTTTGTGGGCCACAGATGAACGTAATAAGGCAAATGGAATCAGTGACAGGAGAAAATGTAAAAAGCTATTCTTAATTTCATGAATTAATAGAAATGTTTTGATGTATTTTTTGGTCATTTTTAGGAAATTCCACGTCAAAGGCTTGATGTTCCATTTTAAAGAATATATGAAAATTACTAGGGCATGCCATTTCTCTCAAGCAAGAAGAAATTAATTTTCAGCTATAACAGAAAGGTAATTTTCACACTTGAAACTTTGTACTGATTGATTTAAAGATCTCCACAGTGAAAAGCCTTCTAGGAAATAATTTAACCCTAGTTCGCAAGAAAATTTACAATCAGTATGAGATAAACCCAGAGATGGGCTAGTTATGGTCAGTGTGTCTTGAACATCTCTCCTTTCTGTGACCTTTTCCTCCTAGTTTTTTTTTTTTTTTAAAAGCAATCATGAAAAGTGAATTTATTCTGTAAATCTTCACCCAAATCCTAAAAAAAAAAAAAAAAAAAAAAGCAATCATGATTACGTTGGAGAGTTGTGATAGTTATTTCAGTAGATGAGGCAAATATTACTTATAATGATAAAGAAAATAGAGGATTTTTCCTCTCTAAATTATGCAGATTGAATGAGTATACACTAATGGTATGTACTTGGTAATTTCTCAACTAATTTTATCCTTGCTTTGTGGACCATTGTTCTGTTTGAGAAAATTCTTATAGCTGTCATAAGGCCATTGTTGTGATCATTTTAGAATATCAACTTTTTTTTTCCACTAGCATTCCAAGTATGGGGAGGAAATACACTACAAACGTCTATCTGTTGTTACGTTGCTTAAAGTCTTGTGTAATTAATATTATTCATACAAATACAAAAAATAACAAACCTGCTTACCATTAAAGCCTTCATCAATCAATCATCAACTCATCTAACACCAGGGCCAGGTCTAGTATTACCAAATGGGCAACTCTATATTACTGACTACTCAGTCTTGAAGGAATGTGGCGTGTTTTCAATTGAAAGCTTAGTATAAATTCTTATAACCATTTTAGAAGCTTCCAGCCTTAGAGCTTATTCACCTTTCATACACGCTTAGCTGATGGCCTTAGACACACACTTATCCTAGGCATGGCTATCCTCTTCCATTTCCTTTAAAGAGATAAAATATGTTTATAGAGATAGGGCTACCATTAGTGAAACCTGTGCAATTGCACAGGTTAGGAAAAAGAGATTTAGAGTTGATGCTAGCTTAGCATGCAGCTTGATTTATTTCTCAGCTGCCACCACCATAATTTCCTCTATGTTGGCTGGGTTCCATTTCTTGCATGTTGCTGCTAACCTGAGAAAGACAGTTTAAGACTATGAAAGGGGCATATATATATATTTGTTGTTGTTAGATGCCCTTGAGTTATTTCCAACTCATAGTGATCCCACACACAACAGAACGAAACAAACACTGCCTGGTCTTGTGCCACCTTCACAATCATTGTTATACTTGAGGTTACTGCTGCAGCCACTGTGTCAATCCATCTCGCTGAAGGTCTTCCTTTTTTTTCATTGATCCTCTATATTACCAAACATGAAGTCCTTCTTCAGAGATTGGTCACTCTTGTCCAAACTACGTGAGATGTATGTATCTCATAGAACATTAAGAATTTCAAGTGAAATTTTCTAAACATGACCACAAAATCTATGTCACAGCATTTGGAGGATTTAGTGCACTTTAAAAAGGCTCTGTAGATATCCATGGTGTTATTGCCTACCTGTATAGAATTTTTGGTTTTGAACCACACAGTTGTCAACAGATCATACTCGAGTTATTTTCCACTAATGGTGAAAGACTATCCTGAGATCTGAGTGTTACCTCATGAGCAACAAAAACACTGTTCAATGGTACATTTGGATTGGAAAGCTCACTATGGCCTAGGGACAAGTTTTCCCTGTGACCTCAGAAGAAGCATGTCCTGCACCCTCTTATGTATCACATAACATTCTAAAATTAAGAACCCATACCTACTATATAAATCACTGATGATTTTATTTGTACTTTAGGTGATGAAAATTCTTGTAAGTGGAATTCATTTCATTGTATGCTTGTCCCAAGGCAGGTTGCTAGACTGTTGAGTGTATTCAAACAGCATAGTACCTACTCCCTACCAAAACCGTACCCTACGTAATGATATATCAGACATAGCTGTATCCTTTCCCGCTACCAAATCCCAAATAATTCATCAATATTGAAACATTAGATTGTCTGTCTTTGTTGAGAAAGTTTACCAGATGGTTGTTTGACTCTCCCATAGTTTTGAATGTTTAGATCAGGAATTCAAATTCTGGGGCTGAGGCTAAAATATTCCAGATGAGACACAAATTTAATAGGGGAGAATTCTTCAGACAACTTTCTGTATCCCAAAGTTTCAAAAATAATTATAAAGGCCATTAATTGCATTTGGCAGTGAATTTCATATCAGTACACAGTGGTGACTACCCCTCTGTGTGAAAGGTCACTCTACATATACTCAACTTTAAATATCTAAAGCATTTTGTTAACTAGGACAATATTCCGTAATTATTGCGTCCCGAAAACATTGGAAGAATGACACTCCCCCTTCAATAACCAAAGGGACATTCTAACACTTGTCTTATCCTGTCACATAGTAGGTGCTCAATAAATGTTAATGAAAAGAAAATATTTTTACCCAGAGTTTTATCTCTTTAGTTATCAATTGAAATGTCATTTCATAAAACTTATTTTATAAATACTGGTTTGAGGAACCAATATTGATACATTATTGTTAACCAAAGTCCATAGTTTACATTAGGGTTCATTCTTTATGTTATAGGTCCTCTTTTTATTATTATTATTTTACAACAAAATAACAGCAGCAATCTGGACAAGAAAACAGAATAATTGCTCACAATTACACAAGAAGGGACAGATGTCGGGCTTGGGCTAGCTCTATGTGACCCACATGTCTTAACTCTTTTTATTTGTGGATGTGTGTGTTTAATTTTTAAAAATTTTCTATTTTGTTGTTGTTTCTGAGAATATGCACAGCAAAACATACACCAATTTAACCATTTCTGCATCTCATGGTTTTGAAAAATGCACAATGCCATTTATCCATCATTACAGAACCATGTGCAATAGTTTCACTGTCCTTGAAATGTCCTGTGAGATTCACCATCTCACCTTTTTTTCCCCTCCTGGCAACCACAAGTCATTTTATTGTCTTTATAGCTTTGCCAAGGAGCCCTGGTGGCACACTGGTTAAGCACTCGATTGCTAAATGAAAGGTTGATAATTTGAACTCACCACCACTCCACAGAAGAAAGATGTGGCAGTCAGCTTTCATAAAGATTTACAGCCTTGGAAACCCTATGGAACAGGGTTCTATAACTCTGTCCTATAAGGTTGTTATGAGTTGGAATTGACTTGATGGCAATGGATTATAGTTTTGCCTTGTTCAGAATGTCATATAGATGAAGCCATGCAGTTTGTAGCCACTTCAGACAGGGCTTCTTTCACTTAGAAATAAGTATCTAAGTTTCCTCCATGTCTTTTCATAGATCAATAGCTCATTTATTGTTATCACTGAATAATACTCCATTACCCACAGTTGCTTCCAAGTCTTGGCAATTGCAAATAAAATTGCTACAAATATTCATGTGTAGGTTTTCATGTGGATGGTATTAGTATTTGAAGCAATGACATGGTACTTAGGACAATGATGAGTTCACTTTCAAATCACTGGGCATTTAATGTTTTAAATATCTTTCAGATAACAATGTTACCTTTTAAAGAATATGCCAATATGTATTTACAACTGAACAACAAAATGGGAAGAAATTACAATTTTGGGTTAACTCAATTTATATCTATTATTATTTATTATTATCATTGACATTGTTATAGTCATTCTCAGAAATCTGTATCTTGGATATGCCAAGATAACACACAAAACCTTCAAGAATAGGAGCCCTGGTGGCACAGAGGCACAAAATGTCAGCAGTTGAAACCTACTAGCTGCTCTGTGAGAGAAAGATGAGGCAGCCTGCTTCTGTAAAGATTTACAGAATCTTGGAATCTTGGAAACCCTATGGGGCAGTTCTACCCTGTCCTAAAGGGTCACTATGATTTGGAATCAAATCAATGGCAATGAATTTACCTTCAAGAACTTTTCAGTTTTATTCTATCTTGGTTTAATCATAATGCTATGTTATGTAACCATTAAATGGTGAACACAAAAATCACAATACAATGCGTGAAAGGCAAGTTATCTACTTGCCACAGAAAAACATATATCAGAAATTTTCATGTATCCTTTCATTAAATTTTTTCTTTTAAATGAAATCATGGCAATATTGTTTTGTGCCCAATTGTTTATCCAGATAGGCTCAAAGGACAGATGTCTTAATGCAAGAAGCATGATTGAACCATAAATGGAAACTTCTCCAAGAAGAGTTCTGGAAAGGTTATGGTGAGCCAGTCACTGAAGCATGCTGTATATTTCTGTGCTCTCTGCTTTTTTAACCTGTGAGAGGTGACCTGGTTTTTTCCCTTCTATTCAAGGTCATCACTAAACTTAGAGAAGGCCAAAAAGAAAATATTACAAAGAGGGAACAGACAAAGAAGAGTTTAGATGCATATTTTAAAACACCATATTGGTTTAAAATAACTGATGATGAAAGGGTCACTTAAGAAGGGCACTGCTTAAAATTTAAGCAGGCAGTAATGGGAAGCGACAGACCTCAAACAATTTAAGTCTTTCACAGTTGAGTGAGTTCACAGTGACAGCAAGACACGGATGTGCTAGCTTACCTCTGCAGGACCTTGGCTTTTGCTTCATAGGCTCTCCCCAGGCTGAGATCATCATCCAGGTCGGTAGAGACTGCAGTGTAAGTGTTAAGGACCTATTGGAAAGGGAAATACGTATGAAACATATAGCATGACCAGACACACTGATGTTTCATTTCATAAGAGAAGATTAAAATTAGTAGTGGTTTTTAATGTCTCCATAAAAAGTCTTTTGTATATTAAAAATTCATGCTGGTGTGGTTTATTTTTATCTATAGTATAACTTGTTTCATAGCAATCTCTTTGAGCCATGACAGTGAGGTCTTACTTTGGTAAAAATAATTCTCTTCCAGCACAATCCCAAATCTTCCAATTTATATAACTTAGGTGTGAATAAATAATTGAATGGTTTACAACATTATTTTAAAATATGGGACTATTATCTAAGGTAATATAAGGCAGATTATAATATTCTACTATTGTAGCTTAAATATCACTTTTCTTTCTATAAATAGCTGTTTGAAAAGCATGAATTTAGGTACCAGGCAATTTCTAAATCTATCATTTTATTAGATGCATATCTCAAAGTTTGTATACATATACAGTATACACTAAAAATATTTCTTACAAATGTACTTCATTATCAACAATCTCTTCAATAGTCAAAAGATTACAGCTGCCACAGCCAAACATATGATCTTAATTTAATACTGACATCATCCATATAATTTTCCTTTTCACTTTTTTTCCCTTCTAATGGCCAGAAGGGGAGCTCTGGTAGCATAGTGGCTAAGACACTTGCCTGCTAACCAGAGGGCTGGCGGTTCAAACCCACCAGCCACTCCTCGGAAGGAAGGTTGGGCAATCCTACTTCCGAAGTGATGCTGTCTCGGAAACCCAAGGAGGGGTCGCTATGAGTCGGGTTTGACTCGACGGCACATAACAACAACAACAACAATGGCCAGAAGGAGAAAAATACATCAAAAATAAAGACCCATTCTTTCTCATTCTTTCATTGTTACTTGACCCAACCTATTACACACATGAGGACACAAGAAATCTCCAAAAACCTTTATGGAAATCCATTTTGCACATTTTCTAAGAAAGAATTAGTGAAAGTCATTGGATGGTGTCTGGGAGAGGGAGTCAGTGTGAGAGAGGACATAAATGTGTCTTATGTGTTAAGTGCCTATATACAGGCAGCTGACCATGTTTAAGTATTAAAGACTGGCTTCATACTACTTTTTATTTTCTTAAAGTAAATATTTGGGAAATAACTTCAGTGAGGCCATTGTGATATCTTACAAAATTTGGGTTTAATGTAATTTTTAAGAGACTGCTTAAAAATGTTAGTGGCTCTGACTCATGGTGATCCCGTGTGTAACAGAACAAAATGTTGCCCGGTCCTGAACCATCTTCACAATCATTGGTTTACTTGAGTTCATTGTTACAGCTGCTGTATATTTTGAGTGCCTTCTAACCCTAGGGGGCTCATCTTCCAGCATTATATCAGACAACATTATATTATGATCCACAGGGTTTGTGTTGGCTATTTTTCAGAAATAGATTGCCAGGCCCTTTTTCCTAATTTATCTTAATCTGGAAGCTCCACTAAAACCTATCCACCATGGGTGACCCTGTTGGTATTTGAAATACTGGTATCATAGCCTCCAGAATCATAGCAACATGCAAGCCGCCATAGTATGACCAACTGACAGGCAGATGGTGGGCTTGACAAAATATGGACATTAAAACTTACTAATTGATACATTTTGACCCAATGTTTTAATTCATGCTAAACCTGTAAAATAAAAGAAGTCTTTTAATAAGCTTTATATAAACCTAAGAACTTTCTTTTTATTGTGTTCACATAACTGACAAACCTTGATTCAATTTGGGGTGACTTGACACAGACCTTTCTGAGTTCAGAGGTAGAACCTATGAATTTTGTAAGTTTAAAAAGACCTTACTGAATCCAAACATCATGATATTTAGAAAGAGACTCTATAACATCCTTCAAAGTACATACGTTCTCATATGGCATTCTGGATGGAATACTATTATATTTTATGTAAAAACTAGTTTTTCCAGCAAATATTATTACTGTTGTTGTTGTTGTTGTTGTTGTTTGCTGTCGAGTCGGCCCCGCCTCAAAGCTACCCCTCCTTGGGTTTCCGAGGCAGTATCACTACGGAAGTAGGATTGCCCAACCTTCCTTCCGAGGAGTGGCTGGTGGGTTTGAACCACCAGCCTTCTGGTGAGCAGTCAAGTGCCTTAGGCACTATGCTACCAGAGCTCCTAGGTACTATATCAGACACTAGGAAATATTAAATAAAGGAAGACATACAGTCCTCAGGGTATTTACAGTCTAAGTCCCACAGACGTGGGACTGAAGCAATTATGTAACTTAGCAATGAGTGAAGACAGGCTTTTCTGTGCTAAACTGTGCTTATACTACACCACTCTTCCATGCCCCAGCCACCTGGGATCCTGAAGCAGCACAGTGACTACTAAACTGCTCAATTTAATCTGAGGGGTGTGACCATTTAGCCACAGATAGAGGAGTAAGTGTTTAAGAAATCATAGGTAGATACTTCAGTGTTGCTTAATTCTAGCTCCCAACCATGTCCCGTACTTTAAGGAGGCAGTAGGGGCAACAATCAGCTCAATCTGGGGTTTTGACTCTGGTTTTAGGCTTGATCCTATAGCAGTGTCTTCATGGGCCAGATGTGATCTAATGCAATGACATTAACACCTCAGAGTAAGAAGAACTGAATTCAAATACTAGCTCTTTAACTCTCAACACATCTGGGCCAAGCAAGCTCCCATGAGTTTAATTTTCTTAGAAGTAAAACATAACAAAGCAAAACAAAAGCTATCTCTCTAGGGTTGTTGTGAGGCTACCAGGAGTTAACATATTATGTAAATGTTAGGACAAGAACCCCTGGTGGGAGTTTCCCTCCTCAAAAGTAAAGACAACACATTTATCTGTAGCTTGAGGCAGTTCGTGTGTCCACTGAAACACTTTACATAGAAATATGAAGTAGATAGGCTGTAGGAAGAATATAGTTTTTAATATTGGCCCAATAGGGAAAGAAATCCATATTGAGGGCCTTGAGAAGTGCTGTCCGAATCAAAGGAAGATCTGGTCTAAATTTAAGAAAGCCATGGTCTCTACTCTCAGGAATGCAAGCTCTACTTAAAGCGGAAAATCATATAGGTGAAGTCATAAGGAATATACAAGTCAAGATGTAGTAGACTGGTGAATTCTATAGTTCAAAACAGTGTGGAATAAACTCTGGGTGTACGGAGGTCTTCATTAATATCTGTATCTCTATATATCTCTGTATCTATAACTATACTTGGGAGCTCTGGTGGCGTAGTGCCTAAAGGCATTTGACTGCTAACCAGAAGGCTGGTAGATCAAACCCACTAGCCACTCCTCAGAAGGAAGACTGGGTAGGCAATCTACTTTCATGGTGATACTGCCCCTTGGAAACCCAGGGAGGGGTCGCTGTGAGTTGGATCTGACTCGATGGCAGTGAGTTTGGTTTTTGGTTCATAACTATATCTACATCTATATCTATCTCCTTGGAAGGAAGATTGGGCAATCTACTTCCATAGTGATACTGCCTCAGAAACCCAAGAAGGGGTCGCTATGAGTCAGGTCTGACTCGACGGCACATAACAACAACAACAACAACATATGGGGAGGGGGAGAGAGAGAGAGAGAGAGAGAGAGAGCGAGAAAATAGGAAAGTAGCCTTGTCCTTCCAGAAGATGATAATAAATTCTGTGCCTGACCTCTGGCACCTTTAAAGGGACATATAAGAAGACATTATTAGGTCTAGTAATATCTAATAAAGTCCCTGCATGGTGCAAACAGTTAAGTGTTTGATATTAACTGAAAGTTTGGCAGTTTGAACCTACACAGAAGTGCCTCAGAAGAAAGACCTGGCTACCTGCTTCAGTAAAGCTTACAACCAAGAAAACTCAAAACTCTTATGGAATTCATTTCTACTCTGTAACACGTGGGAGCTCTGGTGGCATAGTGCCTAAGGCATAGTGGTTGCCATGAGTCGGAACTGACCTGCCAGTAACAGCAGTGGGTAATATCAAACACCCATTTGTTTTCTTTCTGTTACTTGCTTATAACTATCAATTATGAGGGTGCTTTGAACATAAGGAAATAAACTCTTTGTTACTGATCCCTCTTCCTGCCTTCCTCTATATCTGCACTTCTTACCCCATTGCAATTTCTCTCTTATATTCCTTTTATTTTAGATAACATTGAAGGAGAAAATGTCCTCCAATCATGGCCCTTATGTTCACTTTCATAATTGAAGCTTACTTTAAATAACTATGATGACTATCACTAAGGCCTAACTTTTCCAAATTAGAAACAACCCCTTCTAAGCCCCTCTGCCCAGAGAGCCATTATAAAAAATATGCCCCAGTTCATTGGTTTTAAAAACTTTTCATTTTAAGATCATTGTAGACTCACATGCAGTTGTAAGAAATAATACAGAAAGATCTCATATAACCCTTCACCCAATTTTCTCCAATGGTAAAACATCTTGCAATATCAATACAATATTACAACCAAGAAGTTGACATTGCTACAATCCAGTGACCATATCCAGATTTTATCAGTTTTACATGCACTCACATGTGTGTGTGTGTGTTAAATTCTATGTTATTTTATCACACGAATATATTCATATGCTCTGGGTGATACAAATGGTTTGTGCTCATCTACTAACCTAAAGGTTGGTGGTTGTAACTCACCCAGTGGGGCCACAGAAGAAAGGCCTGGCAAGCTGCATCCATAAAGCTTACATCCAAGAAAACCCTATAGAGCACAGTTCGACTCTGTAACACACATGGGGTTGCCAGGAGTCTGAATTGACTTGATGGTAATTGGTTTTAGTTTCAATACATTCATGAGACCACTACCAAGTCAAGATACAGAACACTTTCATCACTACAAGGACCCCTTGTAGAACATTTTTAATATGTTTTTTGCCTAGAAAAGAAAAAAAGAAGAGGATGAGAGAGGAAAGCTTTTTTTTTTGTTTGTTTTCTTTTCTTTTCTATTTTCTTTGGGTTAAAGATT